ACAGTCCAGGGCGTTAGCGAATGAGTTGTTACAACATTCACTAACGCTAGCGATAGCGAATTTGCACTCCTTACAACAGTGCAGGGCGTTAGCGAATGAGTTGTGGAACCCTGTCACCATCTAAAAATGAAAGAAAGCTGCAGTCGTGAGTCTCAGAACCTCTTTTAAAAAAAACATTAGTGACAAGCCGCTTTCAAGATATTTAGTGCTGTAAGGGCTTGAGATTTCCTCAACCTCTTGAACCATTCACTAACGCTAGCGAATTGTGTAGTAAACTTAGGATTCCTCAGGATCACTCAAAAAGTTATGTTTTCCGCAAAAGTTCTTCTTACAGCAAATCTTTTAGGCTGCTCCAGAGAGTTCAAAAGCTTGTTACAAGTGTCACTAACGCTAGCGATCATTTTAAGAGCTTGAGATGTTCTCAAGTCACTACAACACTAAATATCTTAACTGCGCATGAGCGAACGGCCATATTTATTCTATCACAAAATGTTATCGCCTTTGGTTCTTCCCCGCAACATTTTCCAGTGTTTCCGATAAAGTCCACAAGCATATGACAGTGTTGTATATCGCCCATGCAGGTTTCATGGCCCTAGGACCTCCGATGTGATACTTTCATCAACGACCTTTTTGGTTGCTCACATCCTTTGCAATATTTTTTGAACCCCACTTCAGATCAGTTCTTGACAGATCACTATGCTAGATCATTTGCTCCCTCACATTTTTTCAATTTAGCAGTGTGAAACTAAGCCATGGAAGCCAAGAAAATCTTGTTGCCCATTGTACACAGAGGGTTGTTAGAAGGATTTTCAACCAACCATCAAAACAAAGCGATCGACTGTCTGCTTTAAAATCCCACAAAGTGTGAATCCGAATCTAATTGACTCAGCTCATCTAGCATCAACCCAACCAACCAACCTAAACCAACAACAAACTAACAACATGTATGGAGTGCAGAGGTTTCTATGAAATCCAGTTTGGGCTCACAGCTACAAAACCAATATTTTTGTCAAATCACATATTCAAACATGTTAAATACACCATAGTATTAATTAATTTTAATTAGTTACTTTTGTTATAGTGGGAACTTTGCGCGCCTCCTAGCCAAGCCAACGCTGGATTACATAGCCGTAGCCATTTGCAGGACCAGCACATCAACTTCCGTGTCATCTCCGACGCCATCTTTGGAGAAGAGGCCCGCGCCATCGCCTGGCGAGCACTTTGGAGTAGGCTGCCCTTTGCTGCTGCCCTGAAGGGTCTTTTCTGGGAGGTTGGTGCAGTAAGGCAGTAAGGTGTACCAGCGAGCACGTGCTCCAAGCAGTGCAAACATTACATTCTCCCAAAGAGCGGAACTCCACGTTGCTTCAGTAGACTACCATACCGTGGAAGATACCAGAGCAGCAATCAGAGTTGTCTCTCCCCTGCGGCTTTCAGCATTGATTGTCTTGTCAAACACATCCTCCTGCAATAGCCGGTTTTGTAAAGTGGCCATGGCTGATCAATAAGGCCCATTGAACCCAGTGGGTTTGGATGTGTCCCCCAGGCATCCATAGGCTTTTGCCCCAGCGGGTTTGGATGATAGCCTAACCTTCGGCCAGACGCAAGTGTTTCTCTTCTGGCATTCGACCTAAGCTGGGAGGTCACATAGACCAAGCGCTCATATATGGAAGAAATCCTGCAGCACCTGGAACCACCAAAAAACACTACCAATCCATGCTGGAACGATATTCCCTGTTGTGGTGTAAGATGTCTGGCATCCGGGAGAGGTTCCGATCATCCTTTGGGTTGTTGAAGAGTTTCACTTCAGCCGAATGCGCTTTGATGACTTCAGTTGTTGATTTCAGAGAGGGGCCGATACCCTGGCTCCTGGCTAATCCTGGCAGGCCTCGAAAGACCTCTACATCTACAACATCAGCAACAAGCCCCGCGTCTCGCTCGCAAGGTGCCAAAGGACCCAGCGTCCGGACTGGCTGTGCCAAACGGGCCAAACGCTCCCCATCCGAGGGGAGTTTCAGCATCTATGACTCACCCATAGTCACCCGACTGGTCGGCCTAGAGGTCAAAGACATCATTGCTCTGGACTGGTCATTGCTCTGAACACTAATTACTTCGAGGTAACTAGACCATGGTTTTTCGGGGTCTCGGGACTGCAGTCATCTGAGCGGTTGAAATGAATGAGCTGAAGCTCCAAAAAGCCCCCCCCGTTACTGTTTCAAAGGGTTTGGATGGGAGAACTCCTACACCACCCAGGATACCCGAAAAGAATCACAACGCCCCAAGAATCCGGGCTGTCAGATGGAAAAGCTTGCAGTCCCGACACCGGACCGCGACGGACCGCGACTGGACCACGATGAGGTTGTTGGACGGATGATTCGACCGATGGGCGCGTCTCCGGGCGCCGCGCTTTCGAGGTTGGGAAGGCGTCTTTGATAGCGTCCGGCAGTTGGAAAGTGGTCGTGAGCATCTCAAGGAGGGCTGCCAGTCGGCCTGGCGGGGCGCCAGGCCCATCACCAAGTTTCATGGACCCAGGATGAGGAGCAGCTAGCACATACTAGCACTAGCACCCTCCGTCCCAACTCCATTCTGGCAATTGAATGGTAGCGAAGATTTGTCATTCTGGATTTAGCCCAATTTGATCACATCACTGCTTAGTTTTGGAGTGGGGAATGTTGGTGCTTTATGTTTGAAGATCAGATCAGCAGATCCCGATGCTTTAGGTGCTTTAGGAGACAGGTTCTCCAAGGCTTTTGACCATCGAATCGCTGAAAGCACCAAGCTCGGCTCAGTGGAGAACCCTGTTTGTTGGGACCGCTCCCCGGATCCGTGAAGGGAAGGACACCTTGGTGGAAGCTGAAGAAGTCAGCGACCCTTCAAGAAGATCCTCCGAAGATCGGCGCGTCAGCGCCGCCTCCGGGACGAGGGTCCGGGACCCGGAGTCCTGGAGGTCATGGAGGGCCCATTGGGAGTTCTTTTTTGGTAGACTCTTGAGGTACATAAACTCCCCCCTTTGAAGAGGATGTTCAATTCAAAAGGGGGGGTTTATGTACCTCAAGAGTCTACATTTAGGTAGTGTAAACTCAATGGTGGGCAACCGGCCACCGGATAGGGCGGGCTGCCTCGGATCAGGGTTCGCTCGGAATCCGCGGCCGTTCCGGGACTCGAGAGAGGAGAAGGCCTTCGCGTATTGCCACGCGGTGAACGAATGGCAGCCTGTCAAGTTGGAGGAATGGTATCGCCGTCGGCGTTTGAAGGAGTCGGCTCGATACTCAAGAGATGCTTCTTTTTTTGGGGGGGGCAGAAGATGGGAGAATCACGTGTCCATGTTTAATGGAGGTCCATGTTAGTCGGCGGTTTCGAAGTTTCTAGCGAGAAAGGGGATCCAGTACTTGCGCAGGTTGGAAGTTGTGGTCTTTATGTGCTGAAGTCACGGCAGTAATTGACTTCATGAGTTGGAGACGCTGAAATGGAGCTTCATTGGCTGTGCGGTTGGGTCGCCGGACAGGAGTAGACCTTACGTTTCCCACCATGATATTCCCTGTTTCCTCAAGAAGCCACTCAAGAGAGGCTATGTGAGTTACGTTTGTCAATGCACTTCAAGCCCACCTCCCAACATGATGTTCTCAGACGTGTGGCCTTTTGTGTCTTGGGATGTGTTTGGGGTTCATGTCCTTCGCCACTCAGGGGCTACGACCGCAGCATCCCAACCAGCTCCTACTTCCCTGGCTGGCTTCGAGACGGGATGCGAAAGCATTTGGATACCCGACCCTTGTTGTTTGCTGCTGGCAAGGTCTCTGTCGTCATCCACTTGCGCCGATCCGACCTGGAACGTGGCGATACGCGTGCCACACCAGACGAGTACTACTACCGTTTGGCCAAGGAAATTGGTCAGATCTTACCTGCCGAGCTCTTGGATTTTCATGTGTGGAGCTCCACCAAGAATATCCCGGCATATGACTATCACTACTGGACATCGAAGGATTACGATGGCTATCGGGAGCGTGGCATGACAGTGCACTTGGATGAACAGATTGACAACAATGATGATATGATCAAAGCGTGGACGCACATGGCGAGAGCAGATATTTTCATCATGTCGCAAAGCTCATTTTCCATGGTGCCTGCATACATGAACACCAACTGTGTGATATACCCCTCCAATATCGATGCACCACTGGAGAACTGGATCAATGGAAGAAACGAGGCTCGAGAAAGTGGCTCGAAACCCAGATTAATTTTTACCTTTTGGGATCCTTTTTGGTTGTGTGTTTTGGTGTGTAGAACCAGTTGCGATGTTGCGTCGATCACCCAAAAGTGGACGTCATCGGTCTGGACTTGAGACCGTCACCACCGGAGGTTACAAGCAAGAGCTTGAAGCATGTGTGGGCCGTGCCCAGAAGCATGCGGGTGTGGCAGCTACCACAGGCGACTGAGATGGGACCGAGGGGCTCCCGAACATTGAAGTGGAAGTTCCTTCCTTTTTGTTCACCTTTGCTGATAGGTTGGGACGTGTGATTTTTTGGACCTCCGTCCAGTTCCATATAATTGAAGCATTTCGTACGGTAATTTGACCTGAGCCTATATAGTAGGGGAGGTGTCAGATTGATAGTCGTACCGTCATTGTTAGTGCTTGGTGAGCAACATCCAGACATGTTCAGAAAACAGCTCAGGAATCTCCTCGGATCTTCGCTTTTTGGCCAACACTCCCGTCAGGCTCGGCCGGTGTTGAGAACGAGAAGGTTCCTCAGGTTCGAGAGAAGACCGAGATGGAAAGCAAGACATGCAACCTCAAGGCCAGGGCGGGCGGATTGGCCTTCGTTCTGTGGTGCCGGTGCCTACTCCCCGAGGACCACATGGAACCCCCAAACCACGTCGGGTTGTAGAGGAACATGGTCTTCCAGTCTGGTCAATTCTCGGGTTCCATGTTAGTATGAATACACTCCCGAAAGCGAACATGGACCCGGGTCGAATGGTTTTCCTCTAGCTGCACCGGTGGTTTTCAGGGTCCATGTTAGTGTTCAACAGGGTAAGCCTTGAAGATATATGTTGGGTGGCCCAACATGCAGAGATTCACTGGGGCATTGGGAGAACTCCATGGGAGAACCTCATCGCCGGTTTCATTTGGCCCATCAAGGCCCTTAACGAGAAGCAAAAAAAAACACGACTGGGAGAGTTTGGTGTTACATGTTGTCATTGTGTCGTTATTCTTCAAGCTTTTTGCTTATGATTACTTCAGAAGGACAAAGTGCGCGGCATGACCATCGTTGTCAAGGTCATCAACCATGAGGTCACATGGGCCCAGCTGGTACAGACATCGGCATGATGGGTCAAGATATGTGCAGATGCTTTCGGGAGGATTTACGTCAGAATGTTCGGGAGACTTGTGCCATGACAAGCATGTAGGAGTCCATGAATGCAAGAGCAGCCTCCCTCCAACCAGATTCAACCCAGGAAGAGCAATCCGTTTTTTGTTTTGAGGTGTGCAACTTGCACGAAGCACAAGTGCCCAGACTGTACATTCTGGAGCACACGGATGGCGCTGGTCATCGTATGATGCTTGGAATCGCCGTATGCTCTCGTCGTGCGGTTTTCCTTCGGGGGTGACATGTCATCCCAGCTGGCATGGGGTGGACCCGTGCCATGCCGAAGTTAAATACGGCTGATGATTCAAGCATACTACACTCCCGAAAACTCACATGGACCCTGAGGATGAGACCCGGTAAGGGTGGTCCTCTAGCTGCACCAGTGGTTTTCAGGGTCCATTTGAGTTTTCCACGGAGTAAAACCTCCCATCTCCAGAATGGTCTTACCATGTCTTACCCTGCAGAGGCATGGACCCTGACAACCCCTGGGTGGTAGATGAGAATTAGTCTCACAGGGGCCCTTCTCACGGTCCATGTAGTTTGCAGCGTTCTGTTCATCAACCGTCAGCAAGATTTGCAAGGCCTTTTTTTTGGCGGGGGAGGATTTGGGGACACCCCACTAATCACTAATTAATTAATTAAGCAGATGAATAGCTGAAAAGTTAGGTTAGAGGATGTTTATGTTGACTAGGTGGCTTTTTTCAAGGTAAAGGGTTTTTGTGTTTCTTGAGGCCACACAGGAGCCGCATACAACCCAATCTCTGTTCGCAACTTCGCTAATTTCAACAATGAGCTATGACCATGCAGAGCTGATCTACTTGCACAATCATTCATCATTGTACCCCAGTGTAGGTGGTATAAAGGACACTTTGTGCCCTTGAATCTGTTCAATTACAGAAAAGGGGTGCTTGACCTTTTGGTGCACAATAAAACAGTGCACTTGACCTCATTTGTTGCACTCCCTTCAGCAGGAGTTCGCAAGCCATCGGGGGCCGGTCGCTCAGGAAGTCCATCTTGGAAGCCATTGCCATCGCCTGGCGGAACACGCTCAACTTCGGTGGTGTGGTCGGTGCCACGGCCGCAGCTGCTTCAGGCTTTGGCAGGCGGGTAGCATGTGCTGAAAGGGTGTTGGGTGCGTCTGCAGGTGGCATGTGGTGTTCAGCTGCTGGTCACGAAGTGGAAAACGTTACGAAAGGTTAAGGCTCGGTCCCAGAGCTGGTCCAACCAGGGCTTTGGCTTGCAGCCCTAAGCGCTCCGCGCACCAAGGTCTCCACACCGCGCCGTGGTAGAGTTCAACGAACACCGATTGCGAACCGCCCAGGTCGAACGTCCGACAGATCCAAGGTCAACTGCAGCCCCTCACGGATCAACACATCAACTTCCGCGTCATCGTCGACGCCCTCTTCGGCCCGGACGCCTCCCGCCGCTCGGGACAGAAGCCGAAGCGGCTTCGCCGGGTCACGCGGGAGACGCGGGGGACGTCCTGAGTTGAAAGTCCAACGAAGGGGAGCTGGAGCTGAACCTGGGTGAAGGAAGATTTGGAAGTAAGCCATCCTTAGTCCCAAAGCGGAGCCCAACCTTTAAAAAAACCTTATAATATAATTTGTTTCTTTTTGGGGGGTGGTGTCTCCATTAACAAGAACATGGTGGAAAGCGAGATAAGCTGCTCCAATTTCCCCGCAAACCGGCTTGGAAGTCGGGGCTGGACCCTGTCGGGTTTCGAGTCTAGACAATCGCCGAAGCGGCGATCGCATGCGTAGGGCAGAAGTTCAAGGTTTTAGGAGGTCGATAGCAGTCACCTTTTTTCGCATTTTTGGGCAACTAGGTATGGTAACGAGAGTTCTCGGCGTTCTTTGCAGAAGCCTTCGTTCGTTTTGACCATTTCCAAGGAGACTTCTTCCTTTACAACATCAGTCACCAGGCTTCAAGAAGCTGTGGAAGAAGCTGAGGCGGAGGGAACTTGCATACACGATGAGTCATACTCCTGAGACACATGTCAGGGTGCCGAACGAACCGAGGAAGGAGTGCAGGTGCCCCTGTCACATCCACTCACTGGATGGGACTAAACACCACCCCCTGTGACCCCTGGCTATGATGATTTGATGGCTAGAGTCTCAATGTTAGGAGGAAGCACCAGATGACCCAGACCAGACCCACCAGGCATTTGACATCACCAGGGTAAACATTTGTGTGACGTGGTCTTCAGCATGTTTGACGTCACAGTTTCCGACGTGTTGTTCCGAGCATGTTTTCTGGATCAGCGCGGTTGTGAACCGTTGGCTTGACAAGTCTCCCCCCGACGTGTTGAAACACGCTGCTCAACCGGAATGGATGGCTATAGCTCCGGCCAAGCGGCCTGCCTCACTATTCTCACTAGCATGCCGAGCGGTTTGAGTGGGCCTAAAGGTTGGAATACGAGTACCTCTCAAAAAGGCATATACATGCATATACGCATACTTAAAACATGCTTCTCCATCGCTTCCAGCATCCCAAAGACCAGCACAGCTTCAGCTTCCTTCGAATGTGGTGGACTTGGAATCCCATGGAATTTCTTTTCTCCGAAGATTGTCGACCTCCTTGATGTTCGATCAATAAACCCTGATCGCCTAATTGCACAATGATTCACCAGGTTTTACACAATGGGGTGGGCTGTTCCCCGAAAAAGGGCGTCGTTCGAGTCCCTTTTTTTTGTGGAGACAACGAGTCAACGAGTCAGCTCGTTGCAGGATGGTTGATTCACCAAGCGTCGGCCAGACACCCTGCCAGAATTTGTTAAAATTAGTTAAAGGCATATTCAAATCCGTCACATGGGCGGCATGAGAATTCTGCACACACTGGAAGAAATTCTCATCTTTAATAATTACCCTTCTTTGACCTTCTTTAAAAGCATGTGGCAGGAATGTGTTCTTTTTTTTCAATGTGGAGGGACAGCAGGCCCTTCAAACTTGTCCCATCAATAAGAGCCTCTGAGTTTGCGGGATGCTGTGGGTTGATTGTGATTGATCCTGAAGGAAATGTCGAGGAAAGGAACTGAGATCAGTGACCCACCAGAGAGGTCACTGGCCCTCCCAAAATAAAATAACAACAACATTATACACTCCCGAAAACTAACATAGACCCTGACAATTTCTCCTGGAAGATTGTTTTCCTCTAGCTGCACCAGTGGTTTTCAGGGTCCATGGGATCGTCCTCCAGAGTGTAAGCAGCTTGATTGCGAGTATTTTGTTGGTGAGAGGTCCACAGATACAAGCTTTTGCTGATATGTGCTGAAGTCTTTTCAACCCTAGGCTCTCGGCCTAACTTCGCGATGGAGTTCGAGAACGTGCGGAAGCTCGAAGCAGGCGCCAAGCAGCTCCCTGCTGGAGCGTTGGTCTACTGCAGCGCAGTGAATGAATGGACCGGACCTCAGTTCCAACACACAAGGCCGGAACTGAAAGGACCCAGCCACGTTCAACACCATGAACACATCCAACTTGGATGTCTTGTTTTGTCCTGGTTTGGCCCAAACTCGCGAAACTCGCATGTCCCATGTGAGTCGCCTTCGAGTTGCGTACATGGTGTAACATTGTGACGCGCAAAAAATTCTGCGGTGGAAGAGGACCCCAGTTCAAGCCGAAACACCTTGTTCACTACCCACGTGTCAACTCGTCACGATGGCGCTTGGTCATTGTTAAAGTGGAAATCAGAGCACCTGAGGCAGGAGGGTTTGAAGGTCTTTGGGAGGGAGCACCTGGGATCGATATGTGTCATGATGTGTCATGTATCCATTGCATTCCATTCTATATATTCGTATACACACTTCAGAGAGGTCTATACACAAAGCGCTGTGTTATTTACATTGTTGGCATGAAGGTTGGCACGCTCAGAGAGAGAGAGAGAGAGAGAAAAAGAAACAAAAGGAATAAACAAAGAACACAAGAAAGAAAGAAAGGAAGGAAGAAAGGAAGGAAAGAATCTAGAAAGACTCGAAGAAAAGAACAGAACAGAAGAGAACAGAAAAGAAAGAAAGAGAGAGAGAGGGAGGGAGGAAGGTTGCCCGGTATGTGCCTCTTGAATAGAATAGGACTGTAACCACTTGATAACAGAATTGATGATGTTTATTTTAACATTCACACGATCGACCGAGGGGCTATGACCGCAGCATCCCAACCAGCTCCTACTTCCCTGGCTGGCTCCGAAATGAACTCCGCCAGCATTTGGATACCCGACCCTTGTTGTTTGCTGCTGGCAAGGTCTCTGTCGTTATCCACTTGCGCCGGTCTGACCTGGAACGAAGCGATACTCGTGCCACACCAGATGCCTACTACTACCGTTTGGCGAAAGAAATTGGTCACATTGTCTCTTTTGAGACCTTGGATTTTCATGTGTGGAGCTCCACCAAGAATATCCCGGCATATGACTATCACTACTGGACATCGAAGGATTACGATGGCTATCGGGAGCGTGGCATGACAGTGCACTTGGATGAGCAGATTGACAACAATGATGATATGATCAAAGCGTGGACGCACATGGCGAGAGCAGATATTTTCATCATGTCGCAAAGCTCATTTTCCATGGTGCCTGCATACCTGAACACCAACTGTGTGATCTATCCCTCCAATATCGATGCACCGCTGGAGAACTGGGTTGATGGCAAGGACAACAAGCGAAGTCAATACCAAGCCAGCTTGCAGAAGTGTGTGGCTCGCGCAGTGGAAGGGAGCCAAACAGAGCGGAGACCCCGTCGCGCGGTGGGTCGCTGCGGGCTGTTGTTGGGTCCCAGCGGGAGGTTCAGCACTCTGAGTCCTGAGAAAGCAAGCTATAGAGATATACACGACGCGTTTGGGACTGCCAGGACGGACTGCCACTCCATGATTGATCCCCCTGGCACCACCCCTGGCCGTTTCTCGGCAGTCCTATGGCAGTCCCATGGAGTGTTTGGGATAGAGATATGGAGCGCACGGTGGACGTTGATGGTGTGTTGACTCTGTTGACCTTGGTTCGAGCTGTGAAGAGGTCAGAGCCATCAGTTCTTCCCCGCCTCTTCAGGGATGAACCTTTTTGTTTTCACCAGGTCGGTGGAGCTTGATGAGGGAATTTCAGAGGGAAGAAACGGAAGAACAGGGCCCAGATCTGGCACAACCGAATTGCTCCGAAGTCTCAAGGCAAACAAGTGTTGTTTAAGACATGAACACCCTAAGTCACTCCAGTCCCAACCAGACCACCGTCGACGTGTTTCTGGTTGTGACTGGGGTGACTTAGGACACCATTTACCACTGTTCTTCCATGCCTTGAGTTGAAATGTCGTGCACCACTGAAGATTTTATCGAATATGTTCACCACAGCTTCCTCCAGGTTCCTGGGTGAGATTTGCGTTTGTTGCCTCAGACGCAGGTACGGCACCGTGTGCGGACCATTTTGCAATGATTGGCCCAATTCGCTTCTATTCACCAGTGGGTGGGGTTGATACAAGGTTTGGCGCATGGGAAACCATTGTTTGGGATACCCTTGGCTCATTGTTATGTCCTGCAATGTTTCGTGTGAAACACACGGGAGAACACGAATTGTTTCTGCCACTGCGACGTGATTTTGGTCTGGCGGAGCTGTGTGCAAGATGCACTGGATGTCTTCAAGATGGTACCCCAAGATGTCCTGAAACAGTCGCGGGAACATGGGGGAACCCATGTCAACCACCAAAGTTAGAAACATGCCGTGCCATGTACCAGGACCCTCAAAGTGACCTCTTTGGAGTCTCTAAGTGACCTTTAACAGGCCTAAGTGACCTCATCCTGGGATCTCAAAAGGTCACTTTGAAGGTCCTGGTAATCTACCAGCACTTTTCTTTCCACGCCCAACACGTGGAAGACCAGGTCAGTCCTTCAGTTTGCTTCCGTCTCACCACGTTCGACGGGCTTTGTCGGCTTGCGCGGAGTCGTCCGAAAAACGGCTCAAGCCGCCTGGGCTCAAGGGCTGAAGTCGAGCTTTGCAGAGAGCGACGGCTCAGGATCTAAGGAGCGCTAATTAAGGTGTGCTAAGGCTTAGCATGGCTGAGCAGCATGGCTTAGCTAAGCGGGTGTACAAGAGATCCATAGATGTCCCCATTAAATATCGGAGCGTCTCGTACCGGGAAGCAGCCGTAGGGAGCGACGTCTTTCCCGGGGAGGTGAAACCCGTTCCAAGGCCGCCCTTGGTGCTGGCGCGCGGAACTCGGCAAGTTGACCTCACAGAATCGACCCCGTGAGCCCCATCAAATCAGCCATCCAGCGACCCGTTTTTCTGAGAGGGAGCCATCGTGGATTCTGGAGGCCTTGTTGGGTCAACACCAGTGTCAACTGCCTCACCCGGGAGGCGAGAGACAGTGTTAACTGGTGAGTTTGTTCAGCCACCAGACCTCACAGCCATTTGATTTCATGATATCTGAGCTGTTTTCTCATGTGTTCTCCCATGTGTTCTTGAAGAGTTCAGCCATGTTCTGCCTGAATGGTCGCAAATCGAGAGCCACGCAATCTTTAGCTCAGCTGGGCTGCAGGGCTAAGGATCAGAAGCATAGCACGCCCAAGCATAGCACGCCCCTATCAACAGTGGCCAACAGTGACCACTAGCAGTAGCAGCCGTGAACGATTTGAGTCATGGAATTCGGCTGATTGGAGCGTCCGCTTCGCGAAGCAAGCTCCATGTGCAACTGGGGCTTTGGAGTAGTTGCCATGGGGAGGAGTAGTTGCCATAGTATTTTTGTTTTGTTCTTGATCAGACTTCAGGGATCGTCACTTGAGTCATCCAGTCCAGAGTCAATAGAGTCAAATACCTCGAGGTCCCCCAAAGCCCGGCCAAAGGCCTGAGTATTGGGGAGTCTCAGCTACCAAGAAGTCACCGACCTCCAGAGGAGGTAGTGACCAATTGCACGGCGTGGACACCTGGAGGAGAAGGACTGGTCAAACCCGGCGGGTGTCCACCTGTGTCCGGGAACATTGGCAACCATGACGAGCAGGAGATTGCACGTCCCTGGACATGGAAAATGGCCTCTTGGAAGACCATGTTCCTTACCAACAGGGGCTGAACTCCACTTTTCTTCGTGGTCGCTTTTTCAAGTTCGTCCTCCATGGCTCCAACCTCATCCGAGTCCTTCCAGTGGAAACCATGTCCGACCCTGGTTTGGTGGATCTGAGGCAGCTTTCTGGTGGCGAACTGGCTGATCAGCAATCTCGCATATAGCGACCAAGTGGCGACGTCAGTCGGGGACGTTGGCCTGGCGCGGGCTTGGTGTGACTAGAGTGTTTAGAGTCTAGAGACATAGGGAGACCTCGTGACAAGACCCTCGGGTCACGGGACGTATCACATACTAAAAGCCATTGGCGTGGCGGTTGTCAGTGACCGTGTGTATTGGCTTCAGGACAGGCGTGAATGAAGCTGAATCTACATAGTTTGGGGAAAAAAATCACCTGGGCCTCATGGGTCCAAGATGATGACAATTGGAAAATCCAGACTCATTGGTGCAACATTTTTTTCGACCTACATGTTATTAGGACCGAATCAAGACAAACAAGTGCATTTCCTCCACGGTGCTGGGGCTAGTCACTAGTCCAATGTAAGGCACCTACAGGTGCGGACATCACCGGTTTGTGAAAACGGTGAAAGGAAGAGAAGGATGCCCTCTACTAGGACCCTCCAAGGGGTGTCCAATGGACTACCCCACACTACCTATAGGACCTATAGGCTTCCATTGGGCACCCCTTGGAGGGTCCTGGTACACATAAGTAGCTGGTTTTCCTCATCCAGTCCCGAAAACATGGCAACCCACACAATCAGGAAGAGGCAAAGTTCCTCCATGTGAAGCAAGATGAAGCAAGTTCATTCTTGCAAATACAGTGGTTTCAGAGGCTCGATGGCACTGGCACCCCTATATATGTCTTAGACAGATGGGGGTCCATTTTTCAACCACCGAACTTGGGGATTGTGCCGTCCTCTCAATCCATTATGGAAAAAAAATCGAAAGGACCGTTCTTGGGGTCCGTCCTTTGTGAAAGAAGGAGACGTTCTTCATCCTTCCTCCTTCTGGGGGGAAGCTTAAGCGTCATACAAGCGTATCGGTGTATCTCAAAGCTCTTGGCCTGCACCGAAGAAAGACCTTCTTCATCCTTCCGAGACGCCCGCCCAGCTCCAGCGACACTCTCCTCCTCTCCGAAGGCAACTTCTTTCTGCAGCCCCGTGGGCCGGATGAGACGACGCGATGGCAGGGCTATGGCGCCTTGGCTCGTCGATCCTCAGTGTCCATCAGCTGACCCAGTCGTTAGGTTCGGGGGAGACCTTTGCAGAGCCCAAGGCCGCCATGTCCCGGAACTGACTGCAGTCCAATGGGGTGGACGTCGACGAGTGTAAACAGTGTCGGTGCTTCTTCTACATGGTGGCTTCTTCTACATGGCCTCAGGAGGGCCATGTCCAACAAGTTCCCTGCGTCTCAGGGAACTTGTTGGGCTGCTATTATTTCGGGTCTCTCTCCATACCAATTCCCAAAAAAATATCCAGTCGACCATTTTCTACAGTCTTTAGGTGGTCCGAGTTCAGGAATGTCCTTGAATTACTTGACAATTGGGTGGTGCAACAATTCCCAGACACTCCATGGGACTGCCATATATGCCTACATTGACTCCTCAAACCACCCCAATGGGGTGGCATATGCATACATGGCTGTAGTTGCTGTAGCCAGCAGACCGCTGTTGGGGACGCAAGGGGACCAAGGGAGGACCTTGGAGTTCCGGCCAGACCCTTGGGATCGGCCTTCAAGGCCCCACCGGGACGCGAACGTTGCCCCAACTGGAGGAGTTCTTCTCGTATCGATTTCACAAGGAAGAAGAAGGAACTGAGAAGGAACAGGTCTATAGGTAGGGTTTCTCCCATGATGCCATGAACAGTATCCAATGATGGCGATGATTTTTTGGGAGATTGTTTGCAGTCGATCTACTGTTGCTTTTTGGAATGGCCATACTCGATCGGTGCAGGATGAGTCTCAAAAAAAAACGGGAGTGGAAGAAGGTTCATGCTATTCTAGTTTCTGGGGCGTGAAGAGCGGCAGAAAGCCCAAACATAGTATGATGATGATGACGATGACGATGACGATGATGATGATGATG